GCGGCCGGTTCCACAGGGGGGAAGGGGAAAGGCGACTTTAGGCAACGCATCCTCCCCCTCTGCCATCCCATGTGCCGCTGCACGGCCTCGGAAAGCCTTCCAGCCGAGGCCATACACGCGTGCAAAACGCGGAGCTGCTGTTATCTGTCAGAAAGCAGAACAAAGGAAATGCAGGGACAAAGGCACCGGCCTGACACCAGAACGGCTGGTGCTGCAGGGTGAGGGAGGATCCACCCATGGCACGGGCCTCCCAGCGCAACTGGGGGGCGATAACTGGTGTCCCATGAACAACAACATATCTGACAAGGAAACGGGGACTGAACAGCCCAGCAAACGTTGAATGGTTTCAGTGGCCTTCACTGCTCTGCCTGTCTTTATTATTCAGTTGTTATTTTAGAAATAGCGCTTGGAGAGAGGTTAATGTGAATTATAACCGCTGCCGAGACCAGCAGCATTATCCTGCCTTACTGAGGTAACGTAAAACTATTTTGGCCGTTAAAATTCCCATTTTTATAAACGGGAGTTAATTCTCAAATCTTTTACACAAACTTCAGCACCGAGAATATTTCCTGACCTGACTACTAAAACCTCAATAAACTAACGTATAATCTTTACTCTGGGTGGGGGGGAAAGTAAGAGTTGTGATTATATACCTACCAAAAAGGCCGTGCCAGGGGATAATTCAAGTTTTCGATGCACTGTTGTCCCACAGTCCCCCAAAAACAGCTTGAGGAGGCTGCTAGAAGGAATTCTATTTCAGAGGAATTAGAGGTTATTATTTTTTTAATTATCTGCTATTTATTTCTACCATTTAGAGGAAAAGCTTCCACCTCCCTAAGCAATTCCTCTCCTTTAAAATTGAAAGATAAGAATTTCCAAGTGGTAATCTAGAGCGCGTAATGAGTAAAAACATTGCTATCAGATTACAATTTCTGTATAAGAAGAGGCAAGCACCAATGCCACATAATCAAGCGCCTTGTGTATTTCTAGACATTCAAATACACCCACATGCACTCTTGAGAGACACCATTAATGTAATCACAGCAAGCAAATTATTTGCCTTTTCTTTACTGTAGGTCATAGATCATCTATCAGAGCTCTGCTGCCGTTTTCTGTGCCATTTTTACAGTCATATTACAGTTTTGGTAAGTAAACACCCTTCTCACAGCCTTCTGAGTTTGTTTTGGGTTACAAGCATACTAGTTTTTCTAAGTGACTTTTTTCTGGTTTTACTGCATTTCTTTATGTAGTGTTTTTTTTTGTTTTGCTTTGTCTATTTTCTTCTTCAGCTTGCCTTTTTAAATAATTCTTGGTTTTATCGTTGTCCATCACCTTGAGATGGATTCCTCTTTATGCTTTCTTTTTAAGTTTCCTTCTCCCTTGCTTTTCTCATAAACCTTTACTTCCTTCAGCGTAGATGAGGTGTAGACTAGGATGAAATCTTTACATAACATGAACATAATATCATTGTAGATGCAGAGGAATAAGTGCAGCTCAGTGTTAGCAGGTCATAGAAAACAAAGGCTATTTTACTAATACTTTGCTTGTGGCACATGCCACAAACACTACAGTAGCCTGTTTTCTGGTGAAAATTTGTCCTCTATTACCAACTGGCGCTGTCCATTCAAAGCCCAGTGAAACTGGAGGACATCCTCCTCAATTTGTACTTTTGCCTGCCAAAGCTTGTCATCTGTAGTACCACAGGAGGAATTTCCAGTTTCCACTGGCAAGGCTGAAAGGAGGATTATTTTTTCCATCATTCCCTATCACAGGTGGGCATAAGCAGCATTCAGTGGTTAGTGTTCCGATTTGTGGTTTCTTCATAAACTTTTAACGATCACGTCCTGATCATGAATTGTTTGTTTAACAGCTCGTAAAGAGGCAGAAACAGACAAGCAGGCAGCTCTTCAGGTAAAAAGAAGGCAGCGCTCGGCTTCCACCTGCTCAGGACTCAGAGGTATGGAAAATGTTCTAGCCACAGGCTGAGAAACTGGCCTCAGCTTTCAGGGAATGCTGTTGGGACATGAGTTAGGTTGAGAGATACTCCTGCTTTGTCTGCAATTATTTTGAGCGCTGTTTGTAGGAGAGAGAACAGAAGCACTTGCCTGTTAGATCAGTTTCAATCATTTTTCTCTGATGTGCAGGGCAGAGCAGACACAGTGCACAGGCAGATTCCTCAGGTCAGCACACCCTTTGAGCACAGACAACCACCTCACGTGTATTTCTGCTGGCAGCTTTTTCCTTACCTGGAAGAAAAGCCTGAAGGCAGTTGCTGCAAGAACAACTTACCATTTAGAGTGCCCTTAGCGTGCAGGGTTTCCTGGAGTAGCATCCTGTGCTCAGCGTGGGTGGCAGGCACAACAGGGTTTCAGCTGGCCCAGCTTTCTGTGTCTGTTGCTGTCCTGTTCCTTGCTCTCATTGTCCCATTGCACATGCTTCATTTTGTGTTCTTTCCTGTCATGCTTTTCACAACGTTTACTTCCTGTTTCCCTTCTCAGGAACCTATCATTGCTACTCTATTTTATTTTTCCTCTTTCCAAACTGTCATTTCCAGCTGTCATTCTCCACCCAAGGAACCTGCTGTTCCTAGCAGTCCTTCCTTCAGGTATTAAAAGCAGGCCCCCCAAACTTCATACCCCTTGCAAGGGAAACATTACCATTTCCCATGTAAGCAATAGCATCTCAGCTCGTGTAAGAGGATAATATCCATCTTACAGATGCCTCTAGGTACACCACAGAAAAAGGAAGACCACATGCTCTCCAGCAGAAACTTCACAACGATCCAATAAACTGAACATTTTAAGTTCCTCACAGAGACTGGTTTATCACACTCAATTGCAAAGCCAGCTCCAGGAAGAGAGACAAAAGCACATTGGGAAGAGGGGTTTGGCACATTCCAGGTCAACGTCACAGTGGTACTGCTGTAAGCTTCCCTCTAGCTACTCACACACTACTTATATTTTAAGTCCTCACTTAAAACTTTAATTGAATAGCGAACAGTAGCAGACACTGTGCTGATGCTCTTTTCATCATAGTAAAATACCTCTTGCTATAACATCTGGCATTCTGTACTCCTGTGATCTAGGCTATGTAGTCACTCTTAAAATGAATTTTGACTACATTAAATTGAACGGGGAACACAAGCTAAGGCTTGGCTAGGAATAATTTGTTACATAATTAGCACAATGACATGAGTAAATCAGAACCTGTATTCTATCAAGTTTGTTACACGTAGGGATTGTTCTCGTGTTTCTTTTCCAACCTACCATTTTCAGTTGCTTGCAACTGTCAGAATTTTCCCAATTTTTCATTTGTTTGAAAGCAGTTCTTTATTTCTAGAAAGTCTGATGGGGAGAGAGCCTTGGATATTCTTTTGATCAAACTGCATTCGCAATAGCTGCACAACTTCAGAAAACTAAATAGATAGCTCTAAAAGCTGTACTGATTTTGGAGATAATAAGTTGGAGATGAAAAAATATTTGGCAAGTCGAATTGCATCTTCCGGTGACAACATGTTTCAGGATTCGAGAATGGAACCCTGCGATCAGTAAATCTTTTAACGTCATCACCTTGTGAGCCTGGCTTTTTCATTCTCTTGAGCTAGCCTAGATGGGAAAACAACAGCAGGTGACAACCAGCGCACCAGACAGCAGGTACACCAACAGCAGGTGACAAAAGCAGTGTACTCAACAGTGCTGGTGACAGCTGAATAGCTGGTGCACTGCTGTCAGGAACAGCTCACCTGAAGACTTGCACTAATGCGTAGGGATTTTAGGTCCATCCAAGAGCTGTACAGAAAGCCAGAGTGTTTTCAAGCTTTTGTGCAACTCCTAGAGGATATTAATGCAAGCTGAGAAATCTATTTGCGTTCTGAATTCAGGCAAGGCTGGATGTTCTAAGCAAATTGCTCTGTCTGTGGAAAACTAATAATTGAGCTCCTTCTTTTTGTAAGGCCTTGCATAAATTCTCAACATAGAAATTTGCGATCAGCATAGATTTTTTTTTTTCAGATTTGACAAGTCTTACAGTCTTGAGATGTTGTTACCAACAGATCAAACTCTGGAATGCTGCTTTAGCAATAAAAATAGCAGTATCAAGCCTTTATGGTGTCTCCTCATCTTCACTTAAATGGTAGTATTCATTCCAGTAAGTCAAAACACTGTTAAAATCCTTTCTTTCAGTGTCTTTAAGTGTCAGCGTTTGACAGAGACTGTGTTCACCATAACACGATAGAATTAGTAACCTCGTTCCACAGTTTTTATGTGTTTTCCAAAATAGGAACAGGTTTGGGTTTACAGTTCTTTCCGTTTTTTGCTTCCCAATTTTACTCCTCTTGGACTACACTAATTCTGCCACTAGTGCTGCAAATACAATACATATCTATAACTTGTCACAGGCCCGATGTGAGTTCTAAGCTTCTCTTTTGTCAATTTATGCATAGATTACTAAACAAATTATGCAGTCTTTAATCTTACACAGGAAAACCTCTAACTGTTGCAGCAGTAATTTAATTTATAAAGTTTTATGTTTGCTACATTAAATCAATTAAGTAAGAAACACTGAACAGTAAGATGTCAAAGTTGAAGTTTATTTGAATAAAAATCAGGATTTTGATTAAATAAACAACTCACAGAAACCAAGTTTACTGTTCTGATGACCATCAGACAAATTATGGTCATTGTGGTCTATGAAAAGCTGGCCTATACTAATCTATTTCTGGAGTCTAATGCCAAATGCTAATGAACATATGCTCCTTGTTACATATTTCAGAAAAGAGAACTAGGAATTCTGAGGGCTGTCTAGTCCCTGCACACATTGCCAACAACCTTGTGAGCCTGTTTGCCAGCTACAATATTCCTATTTTCATAGCTTTCAGGGTATTTTTCCCATTTTTTTTTTTTCTATCTCTTAAGATCTCTACTTCTATCTCAGAAGATAAGTTAAGAATGGGAAACAAACAAAACCACATTAGTAAACCTAAAGAAAAAAAAACAACCCAGGAGATTCAGTATTTTACTGGGTTAGATCAGGATTACATTTGACAAAGAAAGAACGCACCAACTAGGATTAGCAGTACAGATAATTGAATTACAGAACAAAATTACAGAATCTTAAGTCCCTTCAGACTTTTTTCTATATTAAACTGTTAAATCCAGCACACCACACATGGGAGATCCATGACAAATGCTGTACAGCAAACCTCATTAATAGAAGCACCTAAAATGATGGACACTGCAAGTGATCTGCAAGTTCCCTTCTCTCTACTTAATCAATCCATCCTCCTTTATTTTTAATTAGTTTGCATTCTGTTTAGGTACCTTGCACAGGAAGGGTGCTAAATAAAACCAAATTAAGTTATAGACAAGATCACCAGCATGATTCCCATAACCAATTGTTGCTTTCTGTTTCATGCATTCGGGTGATGTATGCCCCGGGAATTATTCAGACGTTCATCCAATAGTGCAGTTTCAGTACTTTATTTTCAAAGTCTTTTACCAGCTAGTTTAAAACAAGTGAACAAATGAAATGTAAAGTGTTCTTTATTAAATAACTCAGAAGGTAAAGCAAATTGGGCGATTAAAAAAGACGTCATGTTTCTAAAGGATTTTTACAGCAGAAAATAAATTGCGACCAACAAGCATTTCAGTCTAGCAGCCACATTGTCCTCACTTTAGTGGAGTTAATTTCGGTCCTCAAATTGTGACTTGTTTTTTAAAAGATACGCTGCTAGAAATTCAATAGGATTTGGCGGTCTGTAAAGAAAAGTAAAGAAGTAATTATTTTTTTTTGTTATATTAAACTAGGTAACTGAAGAACTAATTACCTTCTGTGAAAAGCAACGTTAACTCCTCTCAAACACTTGGAAGCACTGACTCAGGGATGGCCAACTACCTAGACAAACCCAGTAAGTTTCCAGTTTACATCTGATCAGTAGGTTTTTAAGAAAGAACTGCTGGTTCCTTATTAAATTCTGTAAGTCCTCAACCTGAAGCAAAAAGTTATGTAGCTTAATTATGTGATCTGTGAAGAATCACCTCCTTTTGTTCATTTTGGATTTGCTACCTGGTAGCTTAATCTGATTACCGTATAGAAGAGATTACATAACAGTAATAATCCATTGCAATCCATCGCCTCCATGCTATTCATGATTTAACAGATTCCTAATACATTGTCACTCAGAAATCTCTTTTCCAGGCTACAGCACTGTCTGTGCAGCCACTCTGTACGCAGCTGTCATTCCATACTTCTCACCACCTTGTCACTCCTTTCTCTTACTTTTTCACACTGTACTAGAATACAGGAGAATTGCAATTACACTTAATATTCAAAATTAAGAAAAATATATATTTAAATAGCAACATGCTTGTTTGTACCCGTTCGATTTCTAAATCATCGCATTCAGAATTTGCTTTGACTAAGCAATGCACTGACATAAAAAACAATTTAAAGATATTTTTCACAAGGGTAACGGTCACTTTATAAAGTTCACAGACAATTATTTACAAATTGGTCAACTTTGAAGAACAATAGAACAGCATGTTCTGTAAAAACTCCACCAGCATCATTAGCAAGTTTTGGCATCAGCCTCTTTTTCAAATTTTTACAAATGATCCTTTCCTTGACTATAGTGCTGAGCTTTGTTCACCATGGAAATGCATCGTTTACTTCTACCCTAGGTCTTGTATAGCACAGCGAGTTCCTCATCCATATAAAGGCTTTTTCCTTAGTCCCACAACAATTTACTCTCTTTAAAAGCCTTTCGTGACAGACTGTGCCAGAAGACTTTTGGAAATTTACATAGACTGTCATTTGGACTCCTGCTTACAGGTGCCTTTTGACTCCTTTAGTGAACACCAAGAGACTCATAAAAGTGGTGCTGATGCCTCCCAAATGGCATTCAGTCTGCAGGACAACTCCCACAGCTGGCAACTGAAGATGGGCATCCTGCCTCTGGGGCAGGGTGTACCTTCCTAAATGCTCTTTTGCCTATTTTGCAGCCTGCACAATTAGTTCAAATTCACAACTCCTTCTGAGGTTAAGACACTGCTGGTTGCTCTTCTGGCTATAGGTACAGTGAGGTGGTTGTGGTCATCGCACCAGGTTTTGATGGTATTTCAGCAAAATGGAGAAATGGTTCATATGCCATAGGACTTACCAATAGTTCAGACAAGTTCATTTGGATAAGGTGAACACCTGTTTGTTACATTTGAAGAATTCACCTCTCCATTGACTGATGAGAAATATGGGGCACCTCGCAGAAGAGCCTTTACTGAAAACATTAATCATCAGTTTGCTTCTTATCGTGTTACAGACACAGTAGGGTCAGCCTCATCCATTAAAAAGTGTTTTAAATCTTACTAAGATGCACGTCAGGCCACATTCGTCTTTGTTTTTCTTTTGAATGGCAAATTGAACTCTTTCATCAAACACTATTGAAATCTTGTTCACAACTAGAACAACTTCTTCCCTTATAAGGTGAATTACATGACAAGATAAATGAAAAATATTCTTCTCCCTCCAAAAACTTTGCAGTAGCACACCTCACTGGAAGATAAGAAATTCACTGAATAACTCTTCTGTTAAGTGAGAAGCACATCCTGCTGTGTTCACCCATGGTATTTATGAACCTGTTGTAAATCATCTCTTACAACCATGATGCTAACAAGACCATATCTGGTATGAGATCAGAAAAAGTTACATACTGCTTGAGTCTGAGACCTACCTTCTTCCTAAGAACAGACGGAAGACTTCAGAATCTTACCTCTCTTTTGCAAGAACAGCAAGTCCCTGTAGCAAGATCGGTACAACCGTCTGATCCAAGTAGGCACGCGTGGGTAACGACTGGAGATCCACCTTCTGCTTTGATGTCTTTTCTGCGTTTATTTTTTCATTTTCTACTATCCTCTGGAGGAGTAAGAAGTAAATGAGCATTGGTAACAGTGGCAAGATCTACTTTGAAGCACAAGTGCAAACAATACACATTTTTCTGCAAGTTCACTTAAGTTCTAAAAAAGATGTAAAGAAATGATTTTAAGTGCGCAGTTTTCCTTGAACAAACCTAAACCAGAGGAGCCTTCTGCTTAATTCTTACATTTTGAGAAAATGTTAGGAAGTCCTAAGTTTAATATAAGCAGTCCCAGTCGAGTATTTCCTGCACACATGCACTTCCAACACAACTGCTAAAAGGATCAGAAATGTAGCCTTAGTCTGACAGAAGAGACCCCACTCTATTGAAGCACAGATGAATACTTTAAGATACACAAAATGCTTCCAAGCCTTTTGGTCAAAAGCCACTGAATTATCTTGAAACTGGTAACTGTGGCTAAAGAAAGGATACCCTACCACTGCCAGTGAACCAGATGTTTTCAACACAACAACCAATGCAACCAATGGATAAGGTTACAATTTGGTAATGGAAACTGAGGTATCAAGGCAAACAGTTCTCAGGGAGATCAGTAAAAAGGACATGTAAGAAGTTTCTGCATCATCTTAGCATACAGTATGAGGTTATAATGGAGGAAGACAGGAGGCATTTTCCTAGTGAGCAAGAAACAAACATCACAGAGTAAACAAACACCTAACCCACGCGGCTACCAGGAGCAGCCACGCTGGATTGTGTCTACTCTCAGGGTAAGTAATTAAAGCCAGCCTGAACTATTCAGATCCAACATCCTTATTTACAGCAGGACTAAAGGAACTCCTCCCTTTGATAATTTCTTAGAAATGCCATCAAATGCTCCTGCTCCCCTCCCTGCCGTAAAAGCCTGTCTGGCTTTTTGTGCCATAACATGTTTACAGAACAGATAACCATCACAGGAGAGTTCCCAGAGAAATCTCATTGGTTCAGGCATCACCTCGGCAGCATCTACCACAAAGGAACCTGCCGCCTCCCCCTGAGGGACATTACGCTTTAAGTTTAGCTCCAACAGCCTCACTGTCGATCAGGATTACGACTCCCGCTCCCCCCTTACCTCCACGTTTTCGGTCAGGCCGTACTCGGCGTGGGGGTTTTCCGGCACCTGTAAGACACGGGGGGCTCAGCGGGGCGCACACCGGCCCCACCCGCCCCGCCCCGCCCAGCCCCGCGCAATACCTGCGGCTGCCCCTCCATCATCTGCTCCGCCTCCATGGCTGCAAACGCGAGCGCCGCTCGATGCACGGGCACCCCGGGAGGCAGCACACGCGGGCAGGGGGCTCACACAGGGCCGCGGCCGCCCCAACCCAGCACGGCCCCGTCCCGCCCGCACCGCCGGGCCCGGCCCCCGCCCGCCGCGGCTCCTTTCGGCCTCACGGAAACTGCCGCGCCGCCGCCGCGCGCATGCGCAAGGCTCAGCCCCGCCTACCCCCAGCGGGCGCTGCGAGGGGCGCGGCCTTGGGCGGGGTCCGCTCCCCTCACAGCCCCCGGTGAGGGAGCTGCCCGCTGACCGTAACCGGCACCGGCAGTGAGGGGAGCCACACGCGCTCGGTCGCTTAGGTTCTAATGTAACTTAATGGTGCTTCATGGTGATGAATCACGGAATCACCTAGGCTGGAAGAGACCTCCAAGATCACCCAGTCCAACCTCTGCCCTAACACTAAGCAGCCCTCTGAGCCATATCCCTAAGCTCTACATCTAAACGTCTTTTAAAGACCTCCGGGGATGGTGACTCCACCACCTCCCTGGGCAGTCCATCCCAATGCCTCACAACCCTCTCAGTAAAGAAGTTCTTCCTAATGTTATAAATGAGGTCTCAACTCAATCTGAATTTTGTAATACTTATAAAACAAATATTTCTAAAAGGTATAAAAGCTATAAAAGGTATAAAAGACAAGTAAACAGCACTGGGTGTGCAGGGAGTCTATGCTCCACCAACACTCACACACAAACATCAAACGTTCTAAATATACAGAACATTGCTTGACATACTAAACCCAAGTATGCCTATGCATACGTACAATCAGGAAAGGTAACAAACAATCCCTTAAGTTCCACGACTCAACAGGCTCCATTTTCCACTCCTTTTCTTGATTACATACAAGTCTCCATTTTCCATTCCCTTTGAGCAATATGTCTTGCTTTAAGTTGTTAAGCAACTTGGTCTTCAGGCCTTATGTATCCCGTTCTTCCCGGATCGAAGAAAAGCACATCCATCTCCTTTTCAAGGCCAATAGGCGTGGGTCAAAAGGCAAGTCCAGGTCACCAGGGGGCGTAACAGCAAAGGCCTGCGATGGCTGTAGCAGCAGAGGGGCCCATGGTGTAGCAGTCGGATCAGTAGAGGAGCCCGCAGCTCCCTCACTATCTGGCAAACCACATGCTTCTGACTGTGGTCCCACAGGGCTCTTTAATGCCTCAGAGACTGCTCGCCAGGTGCCGAGCAATACCACTGCAACCTTGTCGTTTTTAGTTGCAGAGTCCCACACCTTGACCTCAGTTTGGTCCCATATTTCAGGCTCATAAACTGTCCAATTGTTAATAAGGAGAATAAGCTGTGAGGTTACCAGGACAGTCTTTGTTCCTAAGGACGTATGATTCCCCATAATGCGCAACTGCTTACCAGCGAGAGGCAGTTGTGTGCACAGGTCTGCTTCTCTCAGCTCGAGCTTCTCTCCAGCTCCAGTGCACCTATTCCCAGCGACTTTCTGTCTCTGAGCGGTTTGCTGAGTCTGGCCAAACCTATCTTCATGAGGCAATCAATGTGCCTGTTCCCGTCCTGGTCTCCATTCTGCCAGCCTGTTCCTCTTCACTTCCTTTTCCTGCTTCTTTATCAATGTAACTTCATCGTGTTGCCTTTTTTTATCTTGAGGGCAGGCTCCCATCTTATACCCTTCTCTCCACAGCAGTTCTTTTCAAAACAACTTCTCATTGGTTAAACAACTTTGAAGGTAACAACAAAAGCAAACACCCAGAAACATCCAGGCCTTAAGGGCTGGAGAACAAGAAACCAGAGACTGCATGGAGTCTCATGAATCACCCTTCTTTGTTCCCTCTAAACTCTTTTATATTCCTGATGTCCTCCTCCTTAAGAGTCTAATGTTATCTCAGCCACGGGGCTTTCCAACCCCCATGGCCACATTCCCAAATCTCCCCCTTCTTTATTAATATAAACCATTTTCTTGACACGAATTACCACTCCATATATAACACTAATATCCAACCTAGACCTCCCCTGGTGCAACTTTAGGCCATTTCTCCTTGTCCTGTCACCAGGCACGTGGGAAAACAGACCAACACCCACCTCGCTACAGCTTCCTTTAAGGTACCCAAAGACTGTGATAAGGTCACCCCTGAGCCTCCCCTTCTCCAGGCTGAACAAGCCCAGCTCCCTCAGCCGCTCCTCATGGGACTTGTTCTCCAGACCACTCACCAGCTTCATCGCCCTTCTCTGGACTCGCTCAAGCACCTCCATGTCCTTCTTGTAGAGAGGGGCCCAAAACTGAACACAGTACTCGAGGTTCGGCCTCACCAGAGCCGAGTACAGGGGGACGATCACCTCCCTAGCCCTGCTGGTCACACTGTTTCTGATACAAGCCAGGATGCCGTTGGCCTTCTTGGCCACCTGAGCACACTGCTGGCTCATATTCAGCCGACTGTCCACCAATACTCCCAGGTCCTTCTCTGCCAGGCAGCTTTCCAACCATTCCTCTCCCAGCCTGTAGCTCTGCTTGGGGTTATTGCGCCCCAGGTGCAGGACCCGACACTTGGCTTTGTTGAACTTCATGCAGTTGACCTCAGCCCATCGGTGCAGCCTATCCAGATCCTCCTGCAGAGCCTTCCTACCCTCGAGCAGATCGACACACGCACCTAACTTGGTGTCATCTGCACACTTACTGAGGGTGCACTCAATGCCCTCATCCAGATCTTCGATGAAGATATTAAAGAGGACCGGCCCCAGCACCGAGCCCTGGGGAACGCCACTAGTGACCGGCCTCCAACTGGATTTGACTCCATTCACCACGACTCTTTGGGCCCGGCTATCCAGCCAGTTTCTAACTCAACGAAGCGTGCGCCAGTCCAAGCCAAGAGCAGCCAGTTTCTTGAGGAGAATACTGTGGGAAACGGTGTCAAAAGCCTTGCTGAAGTCAAGGTAGACCACATCCACAGCCTTTCCCTCATCCACCAAGTGTGTCCATTTGTCACAGAAGGAGATCAGGTTCGTCAAGCAGGACCTGCCTTCCATAAACCCATGCTGACTGGGCCTGATCACTCAATCGGCCTAGTGCCATTAAAGATACCAAAAAATCTTTTTACAAATTCATCAGTGCAAAACGGAGGACTAAGGAGAACGGTTCCTACAATGCATTGAGGACAATTTTCTGATGGATCTGGGGACCCAGGAACTGGGGACCCAGGAACTGGGGACCCAGGAACTGGGGACCCAGGAACTGGGGACCCAGGAACTGGGACCCAGGAACTGGGGACCCAGGAACTGGGGACCCAGGAACTGGGGACCCAGGAACTGGGGACCCAGGAACTGGGGACCCAGGAACTGGGGACCAGGAACTGGGGACCCAGGAACTGGGGACCCAGGAACTGGGGACCCAGGAACTGGGGACCCAGGAACTGGGGACCCAGGAACTGGGGACCCAGGAACTGGGGACCCAGGAACTGGGGACCCAGGAACTGGGGACCCAGGAACTGGGGACCCAGGAACTGGGGACCCAGGAACTGGGGACCCAGGAACTGGGGACCCAGGAACTGGGGACCCAGGAACTGGGGACCCAGGAACTGGGGACCCAGGAACTGGGGACCCAGGAACTGGGGACCCAGGAACTGGGGACCCAGGAACTGGGGACCCAGGAACTGGGGCCCGACTGGGGACCCAGGAACTGGGGACCCAGGAACTGGGACCCAGGAACTGGGGACCCAGGAACTGGGGACCCAGGAACTGGGGACCCAGGAACTGGGGACCCAGGAACTGGGGACCCAGGAACTGGGGACCCAGGAACTGGGGACCCAGGAACTGGGGACCCAGGAACTGGGGACCCAGGAACTGGGGACCCAGGAACTGGGGACCCAGGAACTGGGGACCCAGGAACTGGGGACCCGGAACGGGGACCAGGAACTGGGGACCCAGGAACTGGGGACCCAGGAACTGGGGACCCAGGAACTGGGGACCCAGGAACGGGGGACCCAGGAACTGGGGACCCAGGAACTGGGGACCCAGGAACTGGGGACCCAGGAACTGGGGACCCAGGAACTGGGGACCCAGGAACTGGGGACCCAGGAACTGGGGACCCAGGAACTGGGGACCCAGGAACTGGGGACCCAGGAACTGGGGACCCAGGAACTGGGGACCCAGGAACTGGGGACCCAGGAACTGGGGACCCAGGAACTGGGGACACCGGAACTGGGGACCCAGGAACTGGGGACCCAGGAACTGGGGACCCAGGAACTGGGGACCCAGGAACTGGGGACCCAGGAACTGGGGGACCCAGGAACTGGGGACCCAGGAACTGGGGACCCAGGAACTGGGGACCCAGGAACTGGGGACCCAGGAACTGGGGACCCAGGACTGGGGACCCAGGAACTGGGGACCCAGGAACTGGGGACCCAGGAACTGGGGACCCAGGAACTGGGGACCCAGGAACTGGGGACCCAGGAACTGGGGACCCAGGAACTGGGGACCCAGGAACTGGGGACCCAGGAACTGGGGACCCAGGAACTGGGGACCCAGGAACTGGGGACCCAGGAACTGGGGACCCAGAACTGGGGACCCAGGAACTGGGGACCAGGAACTGGGGACCCAGGAACTGGGGACCCAGGAACTGGGGACCCAGGAACTGGGGACCCAGGAACTGGGGACCCAGGACAGGAACGGGACCCAGGAACTGGGGACCCAGGAACTGGGACCCAGGAACTGGGACCCAGGAACTGGGGACCCAGGAACTGGGGACCCAGGAACTGGGGACCCAGGAACGGGACCCAGGAACTGGGGACCCAGGAACTGGGGACCCAGGAACTGGGGACCCAGGAACTGGGGACCCAGGAACTGGGGACCCAGGAACTGGGGACCCAGGAACTGGGGACCCAGGAACTGGGGACCCAGGAACTGGGACCCAGGAACTGGGGACCCAGGAACTGGGGACCCAGGAACTGGGGACCCAGGAACTGGGGACCCAGGAACTGGGGACCCAGGAACTGGGGACCCAGGAACTGGGGACCCAGGAACTGGGGACCCAGGAACTGGGACCCAGGAACTGGGGACCCAGGAACTGGGGACCCAGGAACTGGGGACCCAGGAACTGGGGACCCAGGAACTGGGGACCCAGGAACTGGGGACCCAGGAACTGGGGACCCAGGAACTGGGGACCCAGGAACTGGGGACCCAGGAACTGGGGACCCAGGAA